CTATTAAAACAATCTTAGAGGTGAAATGGGGGTGATCTCAGCTGGGGTAACGATTTTTGTGTTTTAACCTCGCTGAGTACACCTACGACTTGAACTAGACTAGCCTAGATCTAGATGCTCTATATTTCAAGCTAAGCCTAGAATCTGTATACTTTCTATTTTTTTCTGTTGTTTTAAATTATTTCGATCATCTACCTCTTCTAAATCTAGTTTGTGTCTCTCATCCAATCATATGTTAAGCAAATGTTAAGTTATGTCTTGTTAGTGATTGTTACGTCCCTTTGTTATGATTGTTATAGTTGCGTCCCTTGAGTCATCACTGGGTCATCCGTAATGTGTAGTTAATAAATTTACTTAACATGTTTTTTTATTTGGTTTTGCAATCTATTAATTAATTATACAATCAACAACACGTTTAAATGTGTAAAATGTTAATTCAATTGTTAAAATTGGATCAAAACGTAAAAAATACGCTAGTGATCCCAAGCAGGGACAGGTGATCTCAAGCAAAAAAAAAAGTGGGAAAAGTTGATCCCAAGCAGGTTCGTCACTAAACATGAATATCTCAAATACCTCAAATCGCTGTGTGATCTCACGTGGAACTTTACTCTAGCTTCTTTTATATTTTAATAAGTAATAAACCGGGAGTGATCTCCCCTAAACTTTCTCGAATATTCTTATATAAAATAACAGGGGATGGGAACTCGGGCTATAGACATGATTTTTAATCCATTTTAAATACTTAAAGTTTTAAAAATAGAATAAAATCTCGTAGACAAATTAATTGCACACCAAGTGAACGCAAATAAAAAAGCGCATAATAGTGCGCAATATTATTATTACTTTTAAAATTTACATTAGTTTTTTGAGAAATCGGAAGTAGCGTAAAGTACTACTTCCAGTCAACGGAAATGACTCAAAATTTAACAGAAGGTAGAGAATTAGATCTTTTACTTACATGGGAAATTTCATTTATCTATCTGAAATAGTACTCAAGTTATAGGCTTTTAAAAAATTCAAAGTAGGAAAAGTACCACTTCCGGTTATCGGAAATCGCTCAAAAGTTGATACGGATCTACGATTTTGATAAAATACTTATATATGAAATTTCATCAACCTAGCTGTAACGGTACTCAAGTTATCGTGTTTACACACGGACAGACACACACACAGACACACACACACACAGACATACGGACAAGATTGCAAAATTATGTTTTTCCGTATCAGTGAGGTGTAAAACGTCGAGATTTGTAAAAATCTCGATTTTTTTTTTTTGCACGATTACAATACTTTCTCTATACTACGTATATACGAGAAAGTAAAAAAGAGCAAATAGTAAAATATAGAGAAAGTATTGTAATCGTGCAAAAAAAAAATCGAGATTTTTACAAATCTCGACGTTTTACACCTCACTGATACGGAAAAACATAATTTTGCAATCTTGTCCGTATGTCTGTGTGTGTGTGTGTCTGTCCGTGTGTGTGTCTGTCCGTGTGTAAACACGATAACTTGAGTACCGTTACAGCTAGGTTGATGAAATTTCATATATAAGTATTTTATCAAAATCGTAGATCCGTATCAACTTTTGAGCGATTTCCGATAACCGGAAGTGGTACTTTTCCTACTTTGAATTTTTTAAAAGCCTATAACTTGAGTACTATTTCAGATAGATAAATGAAATTTCACATGTAAGTAAAAGATCTAATTCTCTACCTTCTGTTAAATTTTGAGTAATTTCCGTTGACTGGAAGTAGTAATTTACGCTACTTCCGATTTCTCAAAAAACTAATGTAAATTTTTAAAGTACTAATAATATTGCGCACTATTTCGCGCTTTTTTTATTTGCGTTCACTTGGTGTGCAATTAATTTGTCTACGAGATTTTATTCTATTTTTAAAACTTTAAGTATTTAAAATGGATTAAAAATCATGTCTATAGCCCGAGTTTCCATCCCCTGTTATTTTATATAAGAATATTCGAGAAAGTTTAGGGGAGATCACTCCCGGTTTATTTACATTTGTATCTGATACATAGTCAATCTATATTCAATATAAACTACTACTAGATCTAGTAATTAGGCTACTAAAAGTGCCTTTAGCATGGTTACAAATTAGTAGTACTACTAGATCTAGTCAGTCAATATTACAAGTAAGCACATTATTGTAAAATGTAGTATGTTCTAGTTGTAATATTTCTGCTATTCAACTAAGCCAGGTAAACCCACTATTCATATCTTATCTTGGATATGGATGTAGGTAATAAAACATATTCAATGCAGCAGTAATCAGACCCTCAACACTTACCCATTGGATATGGGTGTAGGTAATGCAAATATTCAATGCAGCAGTAATCAGACCCTCAACACTTACCCATTGGATATTAGCTGTCAACATGAACATTAATTTGAATTTTAAAATGCACTGACCTGCACAAAGTGTTATTTTTTAAAATTAATTTTATCTAGTTCATTAAGATATGCTTCTTTTGTTGTTGCCATTCAACTTTTTTAAGGTTCAGTTTGTAAATTTTTAAATATAAAACAAATAAAATCAATTCATTTATTCTGGTTTTTTTTTATTGATAATTTTACTACATTAGAAAAAGTTTTGCATATCCGTCCATACAATTGGAGCAGGTGGCAATAATCAGTCCACCTTGGTCACTCAAAATCCATGGCTCAACACAAAGGCTTTTATAATGCTTTCAGTGAATACCCAGACCTGCAAAATAAATCAAGTAGGCTTACAAATTACCCTGCTGTGGCTATAATTATAAATAGAATTCAAGCAATTAAAATTATTGATGTCTGCTGTAAGTTAACTGGGTATGAATAATTTAAAAAAAAACATATTTAGGCCCATTATTAAATATAGTAATATATAGTCTAAATATTTTGAGTAGCAAATATAAGTGCTAACATTATTTTATAGTATTAGTCTAGGTAAATTCAGAGGACAAGGGGGGTCGGCGTGGTCGAGTCGGTAAAGCTCATGGTTGCTAAACCGAAAAGTCTCGAGTTCGAACCCTCGGGTAGATGAGGCTCGTTAGCTGGGGACAGCCACTCTTCTAGGAGAGACAACTCCAAAATTAAACAACTACTGCCTTGTAGTTTGTTCTTGGTTGGACAAAGGCTATGGAAGCAAATCCAAAAAGAAAAGCAGGCTGAAATCGGAGTCAATGGCCTCTATGGCGCATAACCAGTTGACACGTAACGCTTAATTGTGTTGGAGGCGTGGTCGAGTCGGCAAAAAGCTCATGGTTGATAAATTCGAACAAAGTCTCGAGTTCAAACCCACTGGCAGATAAATCTCGATCCCCTTCAACACTAATAATTAAGAACGAAGAAGAAGAAGAAGAAGAGGACAAGGCAAAATTAAAGAAATTGTGTGATCTTAAGTCATGCTTTAAAATTTAAGTTTTAACAGTGTTCATCAAGTAAATGGTGTTTCATAGTTAATGTAGTGTGACTTGAGTTAATCATCTAGATCTATCTACTGAGTACACTTTAACAGTGTGACAGCTTACAAGTGTATTACTGGGCATTAGAATATAATATAATAAATTAAATATGCTAGCAATCTAAATATTACTAGATCTAAATAATAAAGAATGATCTTACTTTGGCCACAACTACTAGCCCTAGGCTTCCAATGTCTTCATAAATAATCACAAGTCCATCTGTTAAGTCACGTTAAGTGCATTTTTGCGTATTTAAAATGAACTAGTATATGGTATATAGCTAAATCTAAATTCTAGAATCTTGGGTATTCTTGAGGCTGACTCTCTGGAGTTGTGGTTTTCACTTTTGATTGGATAGATTCAGATAGATGTTTACATTTTTGTCAGTTATTTATTATTATTCATATTGTCTATCAGCTGGACAAAAAGCAAAAAAAAAAAGGTTCCTGAATAATTTAAGTTTCTTCAAATATTGTTGCTGTTCTGCGGGTGGCTGGTTTTTAAAATAAACTTAGGGACTAGCTTTATAAAATACATAGAGAAGACCAGTGCTAGGCTAGGGCATCAACATGGTGGCGGATGAAAACATCATGTGGTTTTGGTCACGTGTGTGCAACCTCTGTTAGTTTGACAGGGAAAATTGTATACATTTCATAGTGTAGGTCTTGATAAGTAAATTTATAAAATCTAGATCTAAATCAAATTTTAATGAAAAAGCTCATTTCTTTATATTCTAAAACTGGAAGAGGACACCATTAGTGTTGTGTTCTTTCCGTAGTTTACAAAGGCTAAACCAGATGAGTAGAGTAACAATAACGTCTCCTAGCCTTCATTGCACTACCTGTAAACAAATTAATAAATCCATATACACAAAACTTTTATGCATGCACATATATTAGTTCCCAGCCATACGAATAAAATAGCATTGAAAGTTTTTACAATTGTTGCATTAAGGAAGCTGTTGATGATTTTTAAATCTTGAAACTGCCATGTTTTTTTGTTATCAATATAAATCCTGTACACAACAATTGATTTAGTTCATATTTTTTTATCTCTCCCCGGCTAACAGGACTTAAATTTAAGTGAGAGAGAACAAGTACTTACAAGTCCTATTGTGTACAAATATTGTCACTAAACTAAAAAAAAATTAGTACCAAGCTACCTGAAGAAAGCAAGTGTTTATTAAGTTATTTATAACAGTTTAGAAATGTGGTTAAAATTAATTTCAAAACTTTTATTACATATTTGTAAAAGATTAAGCACTTATTACAAACATTTTAAGACTAACTAAAGCAAATCAAGTTTTGATTTTTTGTTATTAATATCTTAGTATTTCTATTTTTGAAAATAATTTTTAAGAAACTGGTAGCTTAAGATATTAATCTGCAGTCCTGATTGCTTTGCATTACTGGTTGTCTATTTTAAAATTACATCTAAGTAATCATTAGTAATCAGACTGACAAAAGTCTGGCATGTGTTACAAATTTTGCCATGTTATAAATAATAAGTTGTTTTGGTTATTTAACCACCAGTTTAACATTTACATTTTTTTAATCATCAGTTCATATCTAAGAAGCTGTCCAGCATGGAGGTGGAAACAGATGTGTTAGCTGCAGTTTCATCTACTGTAGATATACAGTCAAATGAATTGACAGAATTTTCATCTTCTGAAGATTTGAAACCAGATCTATTGACCATATTTTCATCTTCTGCTGGCATCAATACAGAATTATTGTCATTTTATAATTTTCAGAATATAAAACCTGACATGACATTTAAAACCACTCAAGATGTTAAACCTGATGTTACACCAGATTTTTCTTCTTCTGCTGACATCAAAACAGAATTATTGACATTGATTAATTTCCAGGATATAAAACCTAACATGTCATTTAAAACTTATCAAGATGTTAAACCTGATTTTAATTCAGAATTTTCTTCTTCTAATGACATAAAACCAGAATTATCATTTTTTAATGTTCAGGATATAAAACCTAACATGTCATTTAATACTTCTCAAGATGTTAAACCTGAAATTACATTTTCAATTGAAAAAATTAATAAGAAACCAGCTGCATCAGCAGTATTTTCACCATCTGAAAATTTAAAACCAGAATTATCATCTTCTGAAAATTTAAAACAAGATTTCACAACAGAATTTTTATTTTTTGAGGATAAACAAGAAAATAAACTTGAAGAAAATCTACAATTGTCTAGGGACAACGGAAATAAAATTATTTATTATAATCAAACATTTTCTCAAAGTTCTGAAAGTAATATGCATAAAAATGTTCATTCTGAAGATAAGCCATATAAGTGTGAGGTTTGTCTTAAAAGGTTTTCTCAAAGTTCTAACTTAAATCAACATAAAAATATTCATACAGGAGAAAAGCCATATAATTGTGATGTTTGTCATAAAAGGTTTTCTCATAGTTCTGGTTTAAGTAAACACAAATATGTTCATTCTGGAGTTAAGCCGTATGAATGTCATGTTTGTCATAAAAGGTTTTCTCAAAGTTCTAACTTAAATCAACATAACAGGATTCATTCAGGAATAAGGCCATATGAATGTGATGTTTGTCATAAAAGGTTTTCAAATAGTTCTAACTTAAATCAACATATTATGATTCATATAGGAAAAAGGCCACATAAATGTGATGTTTGTCATAAAAGATTTTCTACAAATTCTTATTTAGAAAAATATAAAAAAGTGCATTCAGGAGATAAGCCACATGAATGTGATGTTTGTCATAAAAGGTTTTCAGAAAGTTCTGATTTAAGAAAACATAAAAAGATTCATTTAGGAGATAAACCACATGAATGTGATGTTTGTCTGAAAAGATTTTCATATAGTTATCATTTAAAAGAACATAAAAAAGTTCATTCTGGAGATAAGCCATATGAATGTGATGTTTGTCATAAAAAGTTTAGTCAGAAGATAAATTTATCATATCACAAAAATGTTCATTCTGGAGATAAGCCATATGAATGTGATGTTTGTCATAAGAAGTTTTCTCAAAGGTCTAACTTAAGTACACATAAAAAGAAGCATTCAGGAGAAAAGGCATATAATTGTGATGTTTGTCATAAAAGGTTTTCAGAAAGTTCTGATTTAAGAAAACATAAAAAGATTCATTTAGGAGATAAACCACATGAATGTGATGTTTGTCTGAAAAGATTTTCATCTAGTTATCATTTAAGAGAACATAAAAAAGTTCATTCTGGAGATAAGCCATATGAATGTGATGTTTGTCATAAAAAGTTTAGTCAGAAGATAAATTTATCATATCACAAAAATGTTCATTCTGGAGATAAGCCATATGAATGTGATGTTTGTCATAAGAAGTTTTCTCAAAGGTCTAACTTAAGTACGCATAAAAAGAAGCATTCAGGAGAAAAGGTATATAATTGTGATGTTTGTCATAAAAGGTTTTCTCAAAGTTCTGGTTTCAGTAAACACAAATATGTTCATTCTGGAGATAAGCCATATGAATGTGATGTTTGTCATAGAAGATTTTTTTGTAGTTCTAACTTAAATAAATATAAAAAAGATTCATTTAGGAGAAAGACAACATGAATGTGGTGTTTGTCATAAAATCTTTGTGGAGAAGAAAGATCTATTACGACATAAAATTATTCATTCTGCAGATAAACCACATGAATGTGATGTTTGTCATAAAAGGTTTTCTAGAAATTCTGATTTAAAAAAACATAAAAAATTTCATTCTGCAGATAAACCATATGAATGTGATGTTTGTCTGAAAAGATTTTCATTTAGTTATCATTTAAGAGAACATAAAAAAGTTCAATGAGGAGATAAACCACATGAATGTGATGTTTGTCATAAAAGGTTTTCTAGAAATTCTGATTTAAAAAAACATAAAAATGTTCATTCTGGAGATAAGCCGTATGAATGTGATGTTTGTCATAAAAGGTTTACTCGAAAATCTAACTTAGGTAAACATAAAAAGATTCATTCAGGAGAACAGGTGTATAATTGTGATGTTTGACCTAAAATCTTTGCAAATAAGAATAATCTATTACATCATTAAAAAGTTCATTCATTAAAAAGGTCACATGAATGTTATGTTTGTCATAAAACATTTGTGGATATGAAGGATCTCTTTCGACATAAAATTGTTCATTGTGGAGATAAGCCATATGAATGTGATGTTTGTCTGAAAAGATTTTCAAATAGTTCACATTTAAGAACACATAAAAAGGTTCATTCAGGAGATTAACCTCATGAATGTGATGTTTAATAAAATGTTTTCTCAATATTCTAATTTAAGAACACAAAAAAATATTCATTCAGATGAAACGCCACATATGAATGTGATGTTTGTCCTATAAAGTTTGCTTGTAAGTGTGATTTATTAAGACAATTTTGTTCATTTGGGAAAAAATCCAAATGAATTTGATGTTAATCCTAAATGATTTACTCAGAATAGTTTAACTACACATAAAAAACTATTTTTGGCCGTACATGGTTTTTTCAACGTTCTCAATTAAGTGAACATGAAAAAGTTCATTTATGAGACCAGCTATATGAAAGTGGTATATGTCATTAAAGGTTTTCTAGAAGTTGTAGTCTAAATGATGTTTTACACAAACGATTTTCTCAAATTTAAATACTCAAAAAAATTCATTCTATATGTAAGACAGAAATGTGATGTTGGTAAGGAAATATATTCTTATAATTTTACTTTATATAGTCAAAGAAATTCATCATGACTTAAAACCAATTTAAAATCATTTTTTAACATAAACAGTTAATATCTATAGCAAATTATTATTATTACATTTCTTATAATTTTTCTCTGCACATAACTTCCAATAGTGAGCCATAGTTAATATTTGTATTATAAAAAGGTTCTTTTGTCAAAGAGTATACCTCGTCAATTATTATACATACTCTAAAAAGAAATTGTATTCTGACTGTAAAAGGAAATAGCATCCTATTGTCAGCTGCATGTGTACATGAGCTGCAATTGTTACATTTTGGTATCTTAGTTTCAATGTAATGTAATTTTGGCTAGTTATTATATAATTTTTTATTCCTTATTATTAAAAAAATAGCCTTGTAATCTAAATTCTAAAGCAGTGAATTATTTTTAATTGGCTAATTTCTTGGTTAAACAGTGATTTATTGTGGTTTTGAGAATTGATTTAGTATTTTAGGATTAGTGGTAGTAGAAGGGATTAGTATTTTACTCGAGGCTTTAGATATCTTTAGTAGTAGTCAGTAGTATTTAAACATATGTATATATTGATGTATATATATTTTTCCATGCATTTTCTTATGTTTCTTCCAGTGTAGTTGTTTGTGCAACTTGGCTTGATTTGTATGGATTGTTTTATTTGATGTTTGGTGCGGATATTAGATGGCGTTTCGGTGGCAGTACTGGTAAGGATGGTTGTCTGTGTGTTCAGAGCCTAGACTCCGAGGTACTGAAGGTACATAATATCCCATTGAATGTTGTGTTTTGTTAGTTTAGTGATTGTTTAGTGTTGATTAGGATGTTTTGAATTTGACTTAATGTTTATGTTTTTTTTTTGTTCCATTTTATTTCATGCAATAAATTCTGTAAATTGTTAAAGTTTTTTTGTTTTATTTTTAGTGGTTTGTGTTTTTATTTAGACTAAGGTTAAGGATAAGATTTAACCACCGTGGGTTTCACCACGGTTGCACTGACCTAGGGAAGGGTAGATAGATAATATGGTCAATTACATAGGTTTAGTCTCATCAAATGAAATATGGTCATTTGTTCTTAGTCTTTATGTAAATCATCACCATCTTCTTTTCGTGTCCAAGAACATTAAGTAGAGTTCATTTTTCAGAGACTTCAGCACCTAAAGGGATAGTGTGGTCAGCACTATGCCCAGCCGTTTTTGCTTTCCATAATGTGAGTCAGGTACACATCAGAGCTGGGCGAACTCTGGAACGTTCTACTGACTTTAACCCGCATTCAAACTCGAGACTTATTTTAGTAAATACTGTTAGTTTATTTAACCACATGCCACATACATTAATTTAACCTGCATTCAAACTCGAGACTTATTTTAGTAAATACTGTTAGTTTATTTAACCACATGCCACATACATTAATTTAACCTGCATTCAAGTTCGAGACTTAATTATGTAAATACTATTAGTTTATTTAACAAAAGAGTTAATAGCTGGCCACATACAATATGAAAAATACAACCTCAACACAAATGCAATTAGAAATGAATCTCAACAATGTTTTACAGCTGAGAAAAAATTTATGTCAAAATTTATAAACATAATTAACAAATTTAAAGAATCCAACAGGTAAATAAAAAAAAACAGAAATAGGCATATATTTCAGATTAGACAGAATTTAACTATTTAATTTACAATTTAAAACCAAATTAATGTAAATTTAAAAAAAAAAAAATTAAAAAAATAATATTTGTAATAATTAGCTCTTTAGAAATAAAGAGGAGAATTTGGTTAAGTTAGTGTTAAAAGACTGCTAATTGTGACATCACTTCTACTGATGCACAAAGCCCAGTACAAAACATTAAGACCTTAATTGTGCAAAATACTAATGCTTTTTAAAATTGATAGAACTTGTGGTAATTTAAATAAAGTTTGATGATTTACAGGAACTTAAATAAATAACTTAAATAATATTAAGAGTTTAAAAGAAAAGCAAGTGTAACAGTCATCATCCAAAATTAAACTGTCACTACTATCAAAATGCTGTATTGGTTTGATAATTACATTTAAAGTTGATAAGATGACATAAAGAATCAAGTGTGTAATTTTTCAACACCATTTGTCTCGTTATGGGTTTAAATTAATCCTATGATGTAGCCTCAACAGAGATTGATGAGGTGTTACATAGCTGCAGATATTTCAGAAGAACTGTTAATTAACAAGTTTATTTTCTTATGTGTCCAATAAATTTCAATGTGTATCATAAGCAATAGAAAAGCTTTATCATATGTTAAAGAAAAGAACATAAAAGCCTATATGGCTTAACTATTACTAGTAAATGTGTTTACAAAAATCAAATTACTAGTTATATAAGAAAATACAGTTACCAAAACTTCAGATAAGCTTCAAATAGAAAGAAGATAACACAGACTTCCACTAAATAACACAATACATTTCTTGATATGTGACAAGCAGATATAAAAAAAACTTTTAAAAAGTAAAAAAACAAACTTTGCAGTATGATGGTATTGAAAGAGACACAAGCCCACTGTTGGAAATAGCTGTAACTTGAGCAGATTAAACATTTTACAACCCCCCCCCCCTCATCTAACTGTGATTGGGTATAAACAGAATTGGAGGCATGCAAAAAAAAACACCAGTGTTTTTACTACCAATGTCAATAAAAAAATTTTTTAAAATTGCAGCATAAATTTACATTTTTTCAGTCACATCAGTTTTATAATATATTTTTCGATTGTGAGAGGGTTGAACTACTTGGTTCATTACCATGTGAGAATATCAGACAACATAGGCAGTCATTATAACATTACACGTCTAGACGACACAGGTGACAATTCATTGACAAGATGAAAATAGGTTTTTCTTCTGATATTTATTATACACATTCTGCTTATAATCGTCATCCACATGGATGTCTCACAATTCACGCTACTGACTGAGTCACACTGGTCATATACACCCTTTCACCAAGACTAAGATTAACTCACACACACAATGCACAGCAACCAGTTTCTACACAAAACATCACTATCTTTCATCATTATGTCATCATTACATCTTTCGCACCAACACCAACATACCTTGATTAACTACACATGATAACACTGTTCGGAGTGTGTCTTCAGTAGTATGATTAAACTAGATGAATATGCCGTTTGTGTGAGATTAAATGTACACGTTGACTGAATCGTTTGTCACATAGGCTGCAATAAAATGGCTTCTCACCAGAGTGAGTCCTCAAGTGTCTTTGTAAAGTACCTCTAGAAGCAGCTGAATAGTCACAAGAATTGCATGTGAAAGGCTTACTGTTTATGTGAACTCTAAGAAAGGACTTTTATCGTTTGTTGTGTAGTCACAATTTGAACACTTATACAGTAAATCCCTAATATGTATGTTCATATGAATTGTTAAATTTTTTTTTCCTGCTAAAAGTTTTCTCACACAATGAACATCTGAAAGGTCTGTACCTGAAATGTCTCTTTACAAGGTGCAGGTCATATTCATCTGGTAAGTTAAAGCCTCTGTCACAATTACTACATATGTAAAGCTGCAAAGGTGTATGTATCAGTTGATGGGACAAAAGGTGAGCTATAGAAACAAATCTTTTTTGGCAAATATCACAAGTTTGTACATTTTCAACACCATCAACTGATTGAAGGTTTAGATCAGGGGTCTCCAAACTTTTCAGCCCGAGGGCCGCATTAACTATCAAATATCAGTTCGGGGGCCAGAGTCTCTTTGGGGTGGCGGTGTCCCCGGCCCCCCCCCCCCCCCCCAACGAATTATAATTTATATAGAAATATATAGATATTTTAAATTCACCCCCAGGAGAAAAAGTCTGAAAGAAACACTGTCCGGCCAACAACACACTCGAGGTCCAAGTTTGTTCTCCTTGGGCAAACACAAAAACCCACTCGCCATTTTTTGAACGTGTCTCTAAGAAAGTCATTTGCTTGCAATTCAATGACCTCCATCCTGCAGTTCATCTGGGCAACTGGTTACATTTGCTTCAAATGGGTTTTGAAACAATCTCACTTCTTTCGCATGTGAATCCTAGTCAGAAAATCGCTAGTGAAGCTGCAGCTGGAGGTCCTTGATGATCTCGCATGCAAATGATGTGGGGAACTCAGCCATTGCTTCGGTCATGAAGACCTTGCACTGCTGAAAGTGCGTCAAGTTGTTGCCCTGTACTTGTTCAAAAAACATGCTATCCAGCTACTCATCCATTGCAATTGAAAAATTGCAAAACTTGTAATCAGTTTTCACTATTTGAGTCACAATGTTTTCATCAATGTCTGCAACGCGGATGGCATTGGTATTTGCACCCAAA